ATGGGAAGATAGAAATGATTTGCAATCAGAAGTGAAGAATTCTCGTCCATTATTTGTATGAATTCGTTGAACAGATTTTTCGAATTGATTTCTAACCAGAGAAAAGAAATTCGATAGGAGGGAAAAAGTTTGGCTTTTAGACTGCATGGGAAAAACCCAAGTAGCACGTGTATAATCATCAACGATTGTGACGAAAAAACGAGATCCATACGATAAGTAGTGTGATAGGGACCCCAAATGTCCATGTGAAGTAAGGAAATGGCACTGTTTGCTCGAGATGTACTGTTTGGAAAAGATGCTCGAGATTGTTTAGTCAAATGACATATTTGACATTTTGAATGAGGGAAACACGCACTGTGACCCAAGCGTTGATGAAAAACGAGATTTTTATTGCGAGTGATTGCACTACAAGAAATGCTTTTATTCAATGAATCTAAATCTCCTGAGGAATCTAGCCAAAAATATAGTCCTTGTGCTACATTACCCAAGCCCATCAGTTTCCCAGTCGAATGGTCCCGAAAGAAACAATTTTTTGAACTGAATATGGCACGACAAGAATTATCCTCACAGACTTTTGAGACAGAAAGGAGGTTGAATTCAAAGTCAGGATTATATAGGACATTTTTTAGGATAAAATTGGGACCAAGATGAACGGTGCCAATTTTAGTAACACAAGTGACATTCCCATTTGGAAGACGTACTGATATGGATGATTGCGGATCACTATGAATATGGGAAAATAAATGCTCATTGCAAATTATGTGGTCACTTGCCTCAGAATTGATTATCCGTGCATCAACTGAAATCGAATTCTTTTTGTAAAGAAAAGTACCTGAGAAACCCGCATTCTTGTCGTTGGCCTTCAGTTGACTCAGAGCCTTCATAATACTTTGCTATTGCTCTTGAGTAATTGTTCGATGTGCCCTATCAATTTTTTTGTGCAGAAACCTGATAAGCAGAAAATTCCTTTTCCTTTTCGTCTTTATCATTTGGTTTTCCATGCAGTTTCCAACATGTGTCAACAATATGATGTGGGCGCTTGCAATATTCACAATATTTATTTTTGAATTTAGAAATTTGCCCATTAACCTTTCCTAATGACATGGCACCTCGTGAGCCATAGGATCCTTTGTAAGCTGGTGCTGACGTGGCTTGATGGGGGCCATTAGATTCGGCTAAGTTGATGGACAAATACGAGCCGTCCGATCCTGTCCGTCGATCCCAGCCGTCCATGTGTGAAGACCTAGGGTAGCCATCGTTTTCTCTGGACGCCACAGCTGCTCTTCGTGTCCTGATGCTCCCGAGAGCTCCTTGACCTCTGGCCGTTGATTCCGTCGCAGCAGTTCGTTGAGGCGCGATGTTCCCGAGACCTCCTTGTCCTCCGGCCGTTAATTCTGCCGCGACGACACCAAATGGGAAGGCGGCGAGGGTGACACCTTCACCGATTCTTGCATGCTCGGACGCGGTCAGCCTTTGGCTTTCCTCCTAGATGGCCAATTGATAGATCCGATTGAGTGACGGCGCGGATTCCATCGCAAGAATTTGTGACCGGAAGGATGAGTAAGAGTCATTGAGTATCAGTAAGAATCTCGTGGCTTTTTTCCCTTTCCTTGATTTCTTTGTACTGACGAAGCGTGGTTTCGGGTCCCTCAAGCTGCTCCTCGGCCGCCTCCAGCTCGTTCCACAGAGCTGAGAGTTGGTTGAAAACTGTGGGGACCGAATGGTTGACCTGCTTCAAGTCGAATAGGGCTTGAGTGAGAGTGAATAATTTTGCTCGATCTAATTTTCCACACATCTCCCATATACTCTCCCATATCGTCTTTGAATCTTCTGTAGGTGGAAGGCCGACCGCGACATCGGGCGTCAAGCAGTTTCCGATCCAGGTGCGGACCAGTTGGTTGCATCGTCGCCACTGTCGCTGTAGTCGCTCTTCGGTCAGAAAGGGGATGACTCCGTCGATGAAGCCGTCCTTATCTTTCGTAACGAGGGCTTGCCGGAAGTCATCGGCCCAGGTGGTGCAGTTGTCTGGTTCGGCGAGCTGCATGTTTATGAGCTGGAATTCTGGTCCGTCGGCCGGCGAAGTGTAAAGGGGATCACCGGAATTCTGGTCCGTCGGCCGGCCCACTTGCATGGGTCTAGAGTTCCAACCTTTGGGGCTCCCATCTTCTTCGGGTGGCCCATATTGAGTCCAAGTCTGACTTGGCCTAGTTGGCCATTGGCCTTGAATCGGAAACCATTGTATTAGTGGCCACTGAACTTGGCCAGAAACTTGAACTGAAGCAGGAGCAAAACCGGTTGATTGTTGGACAGAAGCACGCGCTTCTTCAGTCAGATCAATCTGAGGTGAATTTGAGGCTTCTTCCATTGAAGGGTCACGAATCTCAGAGGTGTTTTTATATTTTGTCATGGTATCGAAAAATTTGAATTCCTACTCGTGTTGCTGATTTGTTGCGCAGGATAGGGATTGCAACAACAAAACCAGAAAACAAAAAAACGGAGGCAATTCTAGAGTTGCGGAAGCTAGGCCAGGAATGAAGGCTCTGATACCACGACAGAAAATGAAGAGAATTGGAGGAATTTTGTATTGTATTTATCTGTCCGTATACATGTACACTCTAATCTATTTATATATTGTACGAATGAAAGAAAAGAATAGGAAATGATATACACGAGATTACAACTTCCTATTTACCAAACCAATCACCGATTGACTAAATCAGTCTGTTCATAATTAAAGATCAATGCCCATAATATGAATCTTCAATAATATCAAATCATATCTCCAACAAGAGGAGTTCTTATAATTTGGGTTCGTTTGTTTCACGAAAAAATTAATAACGTGAGAAACATTTTTGAAAAATATCCCGATTATATTGGTTACAAAAAATGAATGAATAGGTATTTATCGTCTACGAAAATGTTTAAACATAAGTTGTTGTTAATAAAAAAACATTTTCTATTGACTTAATTTCTCTAAGTGATATGGACAATCATTCGGCGAAACAACAGAGTTGCAACTTTTGCATTGCGCAACCAAAATTTTAGCTTTTACCAGAAAAAGAAAACTTGGCCGGATTTTAGGAACCACAACTGATTCGGTCGATCGCAACCGGGGATCTCTAGTTTGTCATCAATACTCGATTGGTTATCGACCTGGCGGGAAAATTGATTTGGTTTGGTGCAATGCGGGATGTAGAACATGAAGATTGAAGGAAGAACAGAGGGAGAAAGAGAGAGGTGTTCTAGGACGAAAGTTCGAAACGACGTCGTTTTTACCCTCCCAGCTAAAGTGCAAAAACCAAGTCCCACTCGCCAAGACGGGCCTTCAAGATTCTCTCGGATCGCAATTACTCCTTTACACCAAACAAATTTCACTCGTTTGGCCCAATGCGTAAAGACACTTCGGTCCAAACCTCCCTTAGTTCAAACTTCCCAGAGGACAACCTTTGATCGGACGGACGAACGACAATCGTTTGATCGCCGGCGGAGCTGATGATTTACGGTTCCGACGCGAGTTCTCGACAGCTTTCTTCCTACGAAGAAAACCCGTCGATCGGAAGCCGATTGCAATGCATAATCATCCATCCTCTTTACACACTTTCAAGCGCGGCGTATGGAGGAAGATGAAACATATAGAGAAGGATTTGAAGATGGGCTTGTGCTCGTTTACCCAATTTAATTGGACTACGAAGGGCCCAACAATGGTACTGTATTCGAGACTCTCCTTTCATTTTTGGGTTTGTTTTAGTGACCCAAAATTACATCGGTCCAAAGAAAGAAAGAAAGAAAGAAAGGAGACCGAACCGAACTTGCTCCTTTTGCATTCCATGGCGTTTATCTATAACTATCCCAAGTTGTACGACTTTCCACAGGAACCCTAGTCATACGAAATCCAACTAAAGTACTAAAAAGACAGTTTGATCCGAATCCTAATTATACCCCAAATCTTAATTAAATTAGATTGAAAAAATCCAATTCTTTTTTTTTTTCAGAAAAGACAAACTTAAAAAACACAAAAAGCTAAAAGTTACAAAAAGGAGAGAAGAAAAACCACCACCGGAAGGAGGACCAAGCCCACCGCTTGTGGCCAGCACCCCATTGCTGGTGGTATGTCGGCGATGGCCAACGAACCTCGCGAGAACCGAGAGAGGGCTGCAACCCTCTCCTCGATCTAGGCGAGGGTCGCCGGTCCTTGCCCAAATCTAGTTGAGAGTTGGGATGGGGCGGCGGCCACATGCAAGAGGGACAGGTCCTCCCGCCTGTGTATTTTTTTTTTTTTTAAAAACTCGTAGCTTTTTTATTTCTAATCTAATTTAATTAAAATTTAGGTTAAAAATCGAGATTTTGATCAAAACGACAATCATTTTAGTGCTTTAGTTAACCTTAAAGCCACGCGGGACGCCGCGTAGAAAAGAAAAAAAAATGCAAAAAAAGATAATAAATTATGTCGGCATTTTCCGTTAGCCAAGTCTGACTGACGGAATATAATGACTTTGATTGCACAAATTTGGCAAGTTTCAAGACTCGTTTACACTCTTTGAAAGTTTCAGAACTCGGCCGCACCTTCACAACAAGCTCCGGGACTCCCGATCCACTCATCCCAAAAAATAAAAAAAATGAAGAAAAATTCGTAGCGTGGCACAACTTCCACGGCACAACACTTTTCGAGTTTTATTTATTTATTTTACGAACCGAGTTTTATCTGATCTTATTTAATTATAAGATTCTTAATCAATTTGGAGAGATTGCTTCCCTTCCCCCACTGTGTCTGTCCACATTTCTCTCTCGATTACGCAATGGCATCACTGCACACGCACACCCAAAAAAGCAGAAGCGCATAGAGATGCTATTCGACGCACTTCGATCCTCTTTAGTAATTCCCACATTCACTCACGCCATTACATTGTACCTTTCTTCTTCCTTCCTTCATTCTTCTTCTTCTTCAACTTCGAATTCTTCACGTACTTCCCAACCGCTCCATCCTTTTCCTCCTCCACCTCCTCCTCCACCATCCTCCTCGCGCCGATTTTCCTCCGCGCACCCGTTTCGCCTGAGCCGCCCGCTCGTCCGCCGTCGCCGCCTTCGTCCCTTCCGTTCCTGGTTCTTGTTCTTGTTTCTCTTTGACTTTTGGGTGGATAGAGGGGTTCACCCGGGCTTCGAGGCATGGGGAGGGTGTTCGTGGTGACCCTCGAAGGGAAGATCTACAGCTGCCGGCACTGCAAGACCCACCTCGCGCTCGTCGAGGACGTCTACTCCAAGGTGGGTGGGGTGGGGTGGGGGGGTGGGGGGGGGGTTTATCTCCGCTTCCTTTTTCTCCTTCTTGGATTTTCCTTCCCGTTGATCCGCCGATCGTTTTTGCTCGGGGTTCCCCCTCCGTTGTCGTCCCGGAGCTCTTGATCCGGGGGCGTTTGCCCGTAGATGATGATGATGATGTTGGTGTGGGTGTGGCGATGTCCGTCACTGTAGGGGACTTAGATGTGGTGATTGCGGTGATGATCGCCCGTGGGTGCTTTAGAAATTCCGGTCCTCCATCGGGGTTCTTGTTGTGGGCGTTCCTCATCGTGAAGGAGACGATGAATTAAGCTTAAACTAGCTGAGGGCAACGACCGTGTGGCTCTTGGAGCTGATGATTGGTGCAATGCTGAATTAAAGATCTGGTCTTTGTTTGAAGTAATAGATGGGGCATTGCGCGCAGTTTGGGCCTCGAGTCTGTGTATATGGATGCTTCATCTGGAATGTCGATAAGATAATCTCGGAGCTTTACGGTCTTTTGCAGCTGACGCGTTTTTTAAGTGGTTGGCTTGATTCCGAGGGTTGTTCGACTGGGACGATCCTTGGCTACTTTCTAGTTAACATATGAACAACGCAAAATTGTGACGGCTGCATCCTTATTTTTGGAAAAAAGAAATGATTTTTGTTTAATTCTCGAAAAAATGCATTGCTTGGGGAGGTGGGAGGACCGTGGATGTCATATACTTCTGCATCAGTTGCTCATTGATGCTCTCAGCATTCACTTTTGCTAAACATGAAAATTATTTCCGGTGTGCTAAGCTTCTCTTTCCGGCTTTTATAGGTTTTGAGAAAACATTGGCCTCTCACTATTGCAATTGTTCCCTGTGTCGTCTTTAAGATTTGATCTTTATTTGATTTTGAAGCAAGAACGGGAGTTTCCATCTCATAATAGAATGCTATTGATGTTTCTTTGCTATAAGAGGTAGCCAATCTTAGAGAGGGGTAGTTATTCCAAGACAAAATAATCATAGAACTTAGAATGTCTTAGTTCTTCATGATTAGAGACCTTAACTGCCAGTTGTCCTTTTCCACTCTTATGGAGTGTGAATGAGGTTGTAATGCTTACTGCTCCATCAGTTCCCTACTTATGATCCTAGATAAGTTGAGAGTACTGTCATCTACCCCCGCAACTCCTGACTTAGTTCTTTACCAAAAAATTGGTTTATCTAGGAGCAAACTGAGAATACCGAGTTCTAATTAATGGACCAGTCTCTAGTTTTGCTGCAACTTACATTACACAATGGGATACTTTAGTGTGTTGTCATCTCGCTCACACATTCTGACATCATGTTTGCTTGTGTTCTTTCACTCAGTCTTTCCACTGCAGGCATGGGAGAGCTTACCTCTTCAACAAGGTGTAAGTTTTTCTTGACTTTGGCGCCCTTTTGTACGAGTACATGTGTCAATTGAAAGGAGAAACTAAATGGATGCACATGAGAATTAATTCTCTTACTTTTTTTTTAAGTGAAAACATTTTAGCTTGCAATTTGTATAGAAAATCATGTCTTCATTGGGGGGAAGGAGCTTTTCAGTTTGCTTTTGATACGTCTGAAGCATGTCACTGGATTAGGGCTCTATTTACTTGACAGTTTCGGCTTCCTTTAATGATGTTAGAATGTTCCTGAGCTGTCTAAGATTGTGACTAATTGGCTTGAAGAGGCAGCCCTTTTGGCCATAACCTGGATCTGAAAATTTTTGTTTGTGTTTATTACATATGTGAATTGAGAAATTAGGATATCTGTCTGCTGGTATTCATGAAAATGTCAAGAAGCTAGAGTGGTGAAATTGAATGATACTTTCCTCTAGCATACTCAAATCATGGGTGATGAACAGTAATTATATTCTCTATATTGCACGTTTGTTCATCTTTTCAATATTTGGCAGTGTGAATGTGTCTACTGGTGAGACAGAAGAGAGAATGATGATGACTGGGATGCACACCGTCGCTGACATTTTCTGTGTTGGTTGTGGAGCAATTGTTGGGTGGACATATGTAAGATCAGGATGCAGTGACTTTAAAATGATGGCTTAAACACACTAGTTTTGTTGCTCCAAGTGATTCGGGTGGTTTTTACAGGAGACTGCTCACGAAAAGGGTCAGAAGTACAAGGAAGGAAAATCTGTTCTTGAGCGGTCAGTAGACATTGTGAAATTACAGATGGTCGTTTCAGTTGTGCGTTGGAAAACTTAGGGCGATTAAGGTTGTAGGAATTGAAAATGTTCTGTTGTTGAGCAGGATTAAGTTGGTCGGTCCTGATGGAAGGAATTACTGGTCCACTCATGAGGCACATATCCTCGGGAGCGATGCTGATGACGTTTGATTTGCCCATTTGAACTCCCCAAATATACATTCTGTAACCTCCAATATTCTTCTTCAGCTAATGTGAATTTATTTTCGACTGAAGATTCCTTGTTCGGCAGCTGCTGCTACTTGCTGTCAAATGACATGATCGGAAAACAAACATTCGATTGTTTCATTCTGATCTAAATTGAATTTTCAATCTTCTCCAGTACGTAGTACATGTTCTTGCTGCTGGTTATTTGTGTGGTTGAACAAGTGAAGCTTGATCAAAGACATCACAGGATAGCATCTTACAGCCATACAGGGGCCTGGACATGAAACTAGGACAGGAGAATCACTTCAATCCCCGGGAATTCCCTTTATTCTGTCCGTGACTTCTCAAAGGTTAATCAGAGTTACGACATAGGGCGAACAACTTCTTTTCCTCCCTATTCAGAAGAAATCATCTACGAACTGCTCGTGGGATAAAAGCGGACTTTCTTTCCATTCGATACAACTCAGTGCATCAATCAAACTCTCGAACTGCCTATGTTTTCATATCAAGAACGCAACCCTTGTGCGACTCTGTCGGACCGATGGATCCCCTTCGCATAAGTTCAACGCACGTCACTTGTTTTGATTTCGTTTAATCTCACAGCTCAAAATGTCTTCGATAATAGCCTCTTTCAAGTTCTTAAATCTCATCGCGTGAGCTACGTAAGGCCTCGAATGTGACCTGAAACCAGTAACTTACATTAACTTCGACTGACAATCCAAAAGCATCATATGTTCATCCTTTCTGGCAGAGTTCGTGATTCCGGGTGGTGTCATTTGCCACCAAACTTCAACTATCTCCTCGCTTTTGTCAAACCCAACAGCTTCTGGAGATGATTTGAAGTATTGAAATATAAAAATCTTAATGATTGATGGATCGCTTCGTCAAACCCAACCGGTCATGCCCGGGATGATAGGAAAGACAAATTCCCTCCTCTTTCCTTTTGCAGAAAACGACACGATTTCCATCCTACAACATGGTGACGATGGTGAGTGATTTGCGGTAATTCATTATAGGGAAAATTATCAAAAAAATTCCTAAATCTTTTGTAATTGTGCCAATTCATTCTTAAATCTTTTGTAATTGTGTCAATTCAGTCAATCCGGCCACTTTTGGCCGGCCGGCGCCAACCGGCTGACTTAGCAATATTTTAATTATTTTTTTCGAATTTTTTATTTTATTTTTTTCTCTTTTTTTTTCCCTATCTTCCTCGCCGTCGCCGGGCGAGCTCGACCTCGCCCGGCGACAGCGAGGTCTCGCCAAATCTGGGCGGCCTCGCCCGGCGACGGTGAGGGCCAGCCTTGCCCGGCGATGGTGAGGGCCAACCTCGCCCATGGCCGGCGAGGTGGAACTCGTCGGCCTCAGCCTCTCATTGGTTGCCAGACCAGTGACCGGGAAAGAAGATAGGGGAAAAAAAAAAGAAAGAGAAAAAAATTCGAAAAATAATAAAAAATTATTAAAATATTACCACGTCAGCCGGCCAGCGTCCACGTCAGCGCTAGCCGGCCAGATGGACTGAATTGGCACAATTGCAGAAGGTTTAGGACTGAATTGGCCAAAAAAAAGGTTTAGGACTGAGTTGGCACAATTGCAAAAGGTTTAGGACTTTTTTGATAATTTTCCCATTCATTATAAGTGAGGGACCGGGCGAGCGTCCTGCTCCTCTGTTTTGCTTTGATACCACGATTGTGAGACCAAACTAAATAGAAATGATCGAAATCTTTCGACAAATCAACATCTTATATCCTTAATATCCTCAAAGTATCAATAAACTCGAGCGAGTGGGATCACATTTCTACTGATGGACGGCCCACTTGCACGAGCAGGCAGGCCGCCGAGTCGATGGATCATAAACCGATGATCCAAGCCGTGACTCAATTTATCGTCGATGATCCCTCCTAGAGAGGTTGGAACTTGTACTAAAACAAGACAATAGCTCAATCTTGAAACTCAAATTTTAGTGAATGCACCATTCAAAGTTAAGGCACCTTTCATGGCGACTCACGTTGCACATTTATTACCATACGCATCACATATGCTATTACATAAAGTAAAGATAACCTCTTTTGGAGATCACTTTTTTCCTGTCAAAAGTATCCTTAGTTAGTTACCTTCGACATATTCTATCTATTGATAAATGTCTAAATTTGTAATTCTAATTTATCTTTCACTACAATTCAATTCTAAACTTTGAATCGTATCTGCCTTAACCTTATCAAAAGGAGCTATAATTTCGAAATATTTTTCTTTTTGTATATTTGTGTCCAATCTATGCATGTTGCCTCGATAATTTCTTTCCATTAATTAGCGTATCAAATATCTCGTAATAAAGCAATTTTACAAAATCTTTTAAATGTCAATTTTTTACATACATGCAAGTCGTTTACAATTTTGTTAATTTTTACAATTTCAACCTTCTTCGCATGAAAATTATTTTGAAGAAAATTTCAAAAAACCTTCTCCACTTTTTCATTCCCACGTCAATTTGCATTTTGAGTTTTGAAAACTCGCAGTATGCATCTCCACATAGAACCATCAAATCCGAAAAGACCAAATCCACCCTCAATCTCATCCAAACCCGAAACCATATCCCCTTCCCCCTCTTTCCCTCTCACCCTTACTCTCTCTTTTTCTCGGCCACAGCTCTCCCTCCGGCATGAGTTCCCGATTTATGCCGCATCGCCACCAACCCCAACTGAGCTCTTTATGCACCTCTCTCTCTCGGCCATGGCAGGTCGTGGCCTCATATTTGGGTCAAGCTCGATCTGAGTATATCTTGAAGCGAGAAGAGCTCAACAAATCTATCGAATCGAGCTCAACCCAGATCTAGGTTGAACTTGACAAATCTAAGTCAAGCTCAACACTAGCAGAACTCGATAGATTTGAGTCGAACCCCACGCCGGCAGAGGTTGATGAGGCACAGCTCAACTAGGGCCTTGTGCAGTGGCAGCGACAGCGTAATGGGCATTTACAGGACCAAAAAGAGCGGGGCTAAGCAGTGGGTGGATTAAGATTTTGAGCAAGTGAGCTTTCATTGTGGGTGGATTTGAAATGGTGAGGGGCGAAATTGAAATGAAAATAACAATTTGTGAATAGGACAAAATGTTAGATGAATTTGAGATGCTAAGAGTAAATTTTGAAAGCTCAAGATGCAAATGGCCATGAGGTTGAAATGCGAGGATGTTTTTTGACATTTTCTCTTATTCTATGAAGAAAACAATGTGAGAACACATGCACAACAGAGAGAGGGAGAGAGAGCCATTGTAATGACAGAAAAATCTAAGAAAAATGCACAGGCAATGCCTTTTTAGGGGTCTATTTATGATGCAACATTCACGACACTTGAAAATAATGCTGCTCAGGGGCAAGGTTCATCTGAAATTTTGTCAACTGACTCAACCAGTTCAACGGAAGATCATCGTAAGGCATACCAGCACGCACTGACAGTTTACATCAATCAAGACTGAGGGAACCATTGACATTTGATCATGCGATGGAACTGTCAGAGCTTCCTAATAGTCCTAAAAAATGACATTATTCAGGCAGCAAATCAGCGGCCGCTTAACATCACCTGTCCAATCTGGTAATTCTCGAAAAAATAGATCACCCAAGTGAATAGACCATTCGCTTGGACAACTCTCGACCGACCACCCTCATGTACCTCTGCACTTGGGCTTCCATATATCTCCCCTCAACAAGACCAAAGGCCCCTTGCAGATCCTTCATGGAAGAAATAGACAGCGAGTCATTTGGTATATCAACTGTATGACGGATCTCTGTTCCAGACACCAAGTATATTATGTAATTATGTGAGTTCCATTAGTTAGAAAAAAAAACACTAAGGGTGCGTTTGGCAACCGGCCAAACAGTAACTATTTTTATTCTTTTGTTCCCAGAATTAGTTTTGGAACAGAAATCCGTTTGGTAAATTTTTTGTTCCCGGGCACAAATTTACAAAAATTTGTTCCCAAAATCAGTTTTGAAACAGAATTAAGAAGTCCTGTTCCAAAAAAAAAAACAGAATTAAGAAGCAAAAAATAGTTGCTTCTTGATTCTGGGAATAAGAATTAGAAAAGGAAAAGAAATTTTTTTTTTTTCTTCTTCTTCTTCCTGGCCTGTGGCCGGTCACCGGCCGCCGGCCACCGCCAGGGCCGGCAAGGGCGACCCTCGCCCAAGACGCCGAGGGCGGCCCTCGCCCAAGCCGCTAGCTGCCCTTGCTAGATCTGACGAGGGCGGCGGCGAGGGTCCAGCCCTCGCCAAATCTGGCGAGGGAGGCACTCGCCCAAGCAGCGAGCTACTCTTGCCGAATCTAGCGAGGGAGATGACGAGGGCCGCGACGCCCTTGCCGGCCCTGGCCTATGGCCGGTCACCGGTGCCGGTGACCTGGCTATGGCCAAGGAAGGAGAAGAAGAAGAAAAAAAAAGAAAAAAAAATTAAAAAATTCAAAATATTATTAATAAAAAGAAATTTTGTGTAGTTACCAAACGCATTTCTGTTCTTTTTCTATTCCAAGAATAGAAATTTTGGGCAGTTACCAAACACCTTCAAATGCTTAGAAATTGTTCCCGGGCACGGAATAAAAAAGAATAATTTCTGAACAGAAATTGTTTCCGGAAACATAATGGTTGCAAAAAGCACCCTAAGTCTCATTCTGGGACAGGTGAAATCAACTAAATAATTGGTGGCAAGAATTAAAGAAAAGCAGGGCACTAGCTGAAGAACTGTCCAGACAAATAACCCATTGGCTTCTCCTCTCTATTTTAAACACCAAAAAGCCAGTGGAAACTCAAAATGACATTCAACAGCGAAACATCAAATAACAGACACAAAAGGAGCTTGCGAACCAATAAGAAAGGAGATTTAGAGTTGCCAATGAACTATTCATACCTTGTATCTCAGGCGAGACCCCCGTAACCCTATTAGAGTATTTCCAATTTCACTATCCTCTGTTTCAGAGAGTTCCACATTAGAGCTTTCACTTTCTGATTCAACATCAGACTCTTCCTCTTCAAGGTCAACCATTTCTTCATCTTCAACTAAAAGATCATTCAAGTCCTTATGCTCACTTTCGTCATGCTGATGTTCACTGATATGATCAGCAACTGGAGGCAGCAACGGCTTTTCATCTTGGTCTTTATAATCTGACAGGACAACATACTTACTTCTATCAAGCAGAGGCTTCGCAACGTTGTAGGGAACCCACCTGAGATATGCATTAACTAGCTTGCACATTAAATTTGATAATATGCAGAGGTACTATTGCACATGCAAAAGAATAACAGAGCTTATAGAGCTTACGTAATGACTATTAAGTGTAAAGTAGTTGAACTAGGAGGGATGATGAATTTGACAGTTAACTTCCTCACATTTGGAAGACCCTGAAAAATAAAGTTTCATGCAAAGAAGAAAGAAACTGCAAGAGGGACGTACCGGTAACGGAGGGGACATAGAAGCTCAGGTGGCCGATACTCTGCTTTATATCTCATCTTGCTGCATGAATGAATGTAATAGCCAAGGTAATAATACTGAAGACTGGGGCAGTGAACTTGATTCTCCTTCACCCAAGTTATTTCTTGCAAAGCCGAATATTTTCCCAAAGATAAAAAGGCAAAGTCAGGGTCCCAAAATAAATATTTACTCGACAAGCATTTCGGTAGGATATCCACCACACCAACTGCAACTAATCGGCCATCAATAACATATGTCTGATGGAAAGACCCAAAACCGCAGGGAGGAACTGAACCATCACCGGTTGAGGGAACAAAAACCAATGGTGTGTCAACCAAAAATCTCCTGTACGCACTCTCTGTGACATGGGCGGGTTTGTCATTGTGCACTTTCAACTGATATCGTCTGTACAGCTCAAATTCTTCAGGCTCAAAAGTGGATCTTTTCAGAAGAATCTCAAGCTTCCGCCTTTTTCCTGAACAACAGTTACAGCACCTCACTAAACATCTTCTCTTGTTTCCACTTCTTGTTGAAAATTCTTTAGAGAGAGATTTTTCATGGCCAGCCTTATCCACCGAAGTGTGCTCAGCAATAGAATAAAAGTTAAGATGTCCGTCACGTGCTTGGATCAAGAGGCCAGATGTTTCACCCATCTGAGACAATGACTGCGCCAACTTTTCTCCAATAGTTTGAGGTAACAACCCAGAAGGCAGCTGGTCCTCTGCCGAATTTCCAGATAACTTTGACTGTTTTTCATTCTTTTTTTCTGACCGTGCACGCCTTAAAGCAGCAGCCAATTGGAAACCAATGTTACTGGTATACAAGAGATTTTCTAATCCTTTGATTAGCTTCTTCTTTTTGGTCGGGGAGACTCCTTTCACAGAAGCTTTAGGTAATTGAACATTGGCAGGAAACGTCTCACTTTCAACGCATGTATGCACTGCCTTATCAATTGCATCAGACAAGTAATGCATAAATTGTTCTGGCTCATTCTTATCCTCCTCCTTGCCCACAGAAGGTTCAGCTGTTGCCGAGCTTGACCTTCCATGACATTCACAATCACATGCCACTTTAGAAGTACTTAAATCCTCCAGGAGCTCATACTTGGCTTCGGTGTCCCGTGTACCATCCAAAAACCTAGAAACTAATCACCATGGTGAGAATTTCTTGTACATTATATTCATAGTATGCAACTTTGCTAAATCCTCACCTAAAAGGTATAATTTAGTTGACACGCACAAGAAGCTGAACAATTTTACCAACCATTTCACTTGTTAAGTTTAGCTTCACGGAGTAAAAAGTTCCGAGAAATTTTTTAAGGAGCGAAGAATGCAAAGCTCTTTCACTTAGAGAAATCTCCTACCTTGGAAATCTTAGTGACGTCAAACTAAAATTCCACTCATGGAGTTATCCATTGAAATACCATTCCAATGTCTACTAGCCTCAGATTGGGCAGGTAGTATTTTGATGACCAGTGCTTCTAATCAATTGACAAAGAATGGACTCCAAACTTGAATACTGTCTTGAAAACAGGGTGGTGGTGAATTTGCAAAACGCAACGACGACAGAACGATCAAAAGTCACATGCGAAGATGCAACGATCCAATGAATAGAATCCATAATGTAGAGAGCTTATGAAAGCAATACCTTTCCACCCGTCTGTATACTCGATTTTGCTCTTTGGAAGGAGAAAAGTCTGCTGCTTTTAAGCGGATAGTATAAGAAGGGCAACACGTACTACTCATATCTGGCTTGTAAAGGTAAGAGCCACATCTTCTCCATCCTCGATCAAGGAGATCTACAGGATGAGTATCAAAGTATGAATTGCCATTCAAAAGAAAAATGCACAATCATTGAATGTACTATAACATCTATCCGACCCATTATTGCCACAGTAAGAAAACTAGCGGAGAAATCCATCGGGTTCATATGAGAGAAGAATAAAAGGAAAAGGGAAGACATAGGAAGACAAACGACTCAAGCCGGCACTTCAGCATCGACCGTAACTCCCACATGGTTTCGCTGAGCTCTTGCAGTTAAATACGCACATATGGAAGCACACGTGCACGTCTTAACAGTTGATAGAATGAGTACAACATTCGAAATTTCTCTAGTTCCAAGCAGATATATGCACATTAGGAATCTACAGCCGTCGAGAGTTGATTAGTAACAGCGCATCGACAAGCTAGAGCAGTGCCCAGACTCTCAAAAGAGGAAATTGTACCAACCTTGATAGTCATCCACGGTTAGGCTATGCGCCCACAAGCCTGCGATCCAAGTCGAAGAGACAATTAAAAAGAAACAATCCCGAAAGGGGAGAAATTTGTCAGCGCGAGCTGACACACACACACACACAAACTCGAAGCAGCAGCAGATTGGAACTAAAGACCAACGCGATCAGCAAATTCCAGCAATCGTGAAACCTCAAATAGAGGACGAAGCTGAAACGCAAACCGAAGCGCAGCAATTTCCCAGTTCCAGCCAATCCAAAACACTCCCTCACAACACAGGTAAAGAAACACAAGAAAACAAAAGAAAGAAACCGGGAACGAACGTACGGACCGTGAGAGACGCTGGACCGATCGGGAGATCTGCAGTACCCGCAAGAGCTCCTCCGCCGGCCGCAGTCCTCGACCACCGTCTCTCCCCTGCCGCCCCCGTCTCCGCCGCCGCCGCCGCCGCCGCCGCCGCTGCTGCTCGCCTCGCCGCGATGATTGACCGCCATCTCTCCGCTCGGAAGCTCCTTCCCTTCAACTACTGTTCATCACCAAACCAGGAAGAGAGAGCCAGAGCGAGAGCGAGAGAGAGAGAGAGAGAGAGAGAGGAAATTGGCGACGTCTTCCAATTTCGACGAGCTCCGAATCTGTTGAAGATGACAGACGACCAGGCCCTGCGGTCCGTTTCGAGAATTGGATTAATCTGTGGGCTCTCCGAGCTGTGTTGACTCGGCGACTTGGTTTTCCTCCCCCTATATTTCTCTGGAATATAATATAAAAAGAAAAAAAAATTAATACCACGAAAAATCCTAAACTGTTACGTCCGTGAAAAATTTACCCAAAATCACAAAAAACCTCAAACCGGTACACCCGTGACAACTTTATCTTCCGTTAGTTTCCGTTAAATTTTACTGTCAAATTGCTTTGTTAAATGACACATGACAGTTAACGGATATACCGGTTTTGGATTTTACTCTTCGTTTGTCACGGGTGTACCAGTTTATAATTTTTTGCGGTATTAATTCAATTTAACGGAAACTAACGGAGGGTAAATTTATTACAAATATACCAGTTTGGAGTTTTTGGTGGTCAAAAAATTGATTTTGAGTAAATTTATCATATGCGTATCAGTTTGAAGTTTTTCGTAGTATTAACCCAAAGAAAAAGTAATTATCTTCATCATTTTTCGCTTTCTGGTCACACATTATAAGAATAATTCCCCAAGAGGGCCAAAATTTTCAACTTTTTTACCCGGAAGGGCCCCCATTGAAAAAGGAGCGGCAATTTTTGCGTTTTTTCACACCCCCCACCCCCCCGGGAGCCTCTTCCACTAACATGTTTCCATCGTGTCATTTTACCAAAAGATAGCTCAAGCTTCAATTGCGACGTAAAAATTTCCATTTTTCCATTATGTAAAAGAGTCAATTGGTGGTGCTGGGTCTTTGATAATCCATTGTTAACAAATACATTTCCACCCCAATCCACACTCTCCACCAATCATGTCATGCACGGATGACGTATTTCGTTCAGATCCCTCTGACTCTGATTGCACATTTGAAGTCTTATCTCTCTATCCCCCAAAAATACAGTTAAGCCTTACCTTACCACTAACCAACAAAAAGTTTTGAGAACTCTGTAACTGGCAGGGAATTCAATTGCTGCTTTTGATAGATGATGATGGAAAGTGACTCCGCTCAACACTAGAGTGAAAAGGCATTCTCCTTCAGAGAGTTAGTAGATAATAGTCAATCCTGACCCTTTTCATATTGATCCTGAGAATTATGCAGAGTCTAGAAGACCGGAACAGACCAGACCGCCTTTTCGACTTAATATGATTATTATCCATCACATTCACACCCCCATGAATCTAGATGTGATGCGAAGAGATGACAAGTCCATCACCTTGATCGTCGTCGATTACATAAACGATAGCATAGCATCAGCAACAGCATCATCTAGGCAGACCCTATTAGAATAACAAGTTGTACCTCAATGTTTTACCTTGCCAGTCCAGCGAGATCGGATACACTTGACCCCATGCGTGTTCCAAAAAGAGGAACTCCACGAGTCATGACATTCCAGAGGATGTATTTTCGCTATTAAGTTACCAAACAAGAACGAGAATAACGAAATTATAGTCCTATTCAAGCAGCGGCAACAGCTTCAGGGGCCACCACCGAAGCAGTTGCTGCCTTTTCGGGAGCATCAGCCACCGCGGCACCACTGGCTTTAGAGTCATCTGAGGTGGGTGGCAATGGTGGACAAAGCTTCAGATGGGATGGAGCGCCGTGCTTCAACTTCAAGAGAATCTGTCGCATCCTTAAAAGTTCGGTTGGTTTTCCGGGCTTAGGGCCTCGGACAACAACAACAGAGGGCTTCTTCTCTTGATCCTTCTTTCCTCTCCTATTTTCTACGGAGGGAACTTCATTAGGGATAAGCTCTGCAATCGCCTTCCAATAGTTCTTGTCAGCCTCAGCGTGGAACTTCTCTAGGCTGGCCGAAAACAACTGAACCACCCAGGACATAGAATCAGAAAGGGCCAATAACATTTCGGTTTCACTTTGTAATAAAAAGAACCGTGACACCATCAGCATGAAAGCATGCCCTTCAAAGCACTAGTCCTGTGCAACTATTAGTGCTATGATTGTTTGTGTTCTTTCACCCTGTACTAGATTAAACAATAGATACGATGTCCTCAATGTATCATAACGAGAATTAACTTATAACATAAATCAGATTTAAATTCCAACTACTTGAATTCAACCACATTCAGTTTCTTCCCCATTCTACGTAATTAGTAATGCTATGAATGATTGTGTTATTTCACCCAGTCACAATAGAGCAAGTCCTAGATGTATCGTACTGAGTATAACATATGACATTAGTCAGATTTCCGATTAGTTGAGGTCAAAGAAATTCTGATTTTCCCCATCCTGCGTGGTAGCCAAGTGTCCAAGGGAAAAACTGAGATCCTAATCACTTTCACTATCCTCTGTTTCAGAGAGTTCCACATTAGAGCTTTCACTTTCTGATTCAACATCAGACTCTTCCTCTTCAAGGTCAACCATTTCTTCATCTTCAACTAAAAGATCATTCAAGTCCTTATGCTCACTTTCGTCATGCTGATGTTCACTGATATGATCAGCAACTGGAGGCAGCAACGGCTTTTCATCTTGGTCTTTATAATCTGACAGGACAACATACTTACTTCTATCAAGCAGAGGCTTCGCAACGTTGTAGGGAACCCACCTGAGATATGCATTAACTAGCTTGCACATTAAATTTGATAATATGCAGAGGTACTATTGCACATGCAAAAGAATAACAGAGCTTATAGAGCTTACGTAATGACTACTAAGTGTAAAGTAGTTGAACCAGGAGGGATAATGAATTTGACAGTTAACTTCCTCACATTTGGAAGACCCTGAAAAATAAAGTTTCATGCAAAGAAGAAAGAAACTGCAAGAGGGACGTACCGGTAACGGAGGGGACATAGAAGCTCAGGTGGCCGATACTCTGCTTTATATCTCATCTTGCTGCATGAATGAATGTAATAGCCAAGGTAATAATACTGAAGACTGGGGCAGTGAACTTGATTCTCCTTCACCGAAGATATTTCTTGCAAAGCCAAATATTTTCCCAAAGATAAAAAGGCAAAGTCAGGGTCCCAAAATAAATATTTACTCGACAAGCATTTCGGTAGGATATCCACCACACCAACTGCAACTAATCGGCCATCAATAACATATGTCTGATGGAAAGACCCAAAACCGCAGGGAGGAACTGAACCATCACTGGTGGAGGGAACAAAAACCAATGGTGTGTCAACCAAAAATCTCCTGTACGCACTCTCTGTGACATGGGCTGGTTTGTCATTGTGCACTTTCAACTGATATCGTCTGTACAGCTCAAATTCTTCAGGCTCAAAAGTGGATCTTTTCAGAAGAATCTCAAGCTTCCGCCTCTTTCCTGAACAACAGTTACAGCACCTCACCAAACATCTTCTCTTGTTTCCACTTCTTGTTGAAAATTCTTTAGAGAGAGATTTTTCTTGGCCAGCCTTATCCACCGAAGTGTGCTCAGCAATAGAATAAAAGTTAAGATGTCCGTCACATGCTTGGATCAAGAGGCCAGATGTTTCACCCATCTGAGACAATGACTGCGCCAACTTTTCTCCAATAGTTTGAGGTAACAACCCAGAAGGCAGCTGGTCCTCTGCCGAATTTCCAGATAACTTTGACTGTTTTTCATTCTTTTTTTCTGACCGTGCACGCCTTAAAGCAGCAGCCAATTGGAAAGCAATGTTACTGGTATACAAGAGATTTTCTAATCCTTTGATTAGCTTCTTCTTTTTGGTCAGGGAGACTCCTTTCACAGAAGCTTTAGGCAATTGAACATTGGCAGGAAACGTCTCACTTTCAACGCATGTATGCACTGCCTTATCAATTGCATCAGACAAGTAATGCATAAATTGTTCTGGCTCATTCTTATCCTCCTCCTTGCCCACAGAAGGTTCAACTGTTGCCAAGCTTGACCTTCCATGACATTCACAATCACATGCCACTTTAGAAGTACTTAAATCCTCCAGGAGCTTGGCTTCGGTGTCCCGTGTACCATCCAAAAACCTAGAAACTAATCACCATGGTGAGAATTTCTTGTACATTATATTCATAGTATGCAACTTTGCTAAATCCTCACCTAAAAGGTATAATTTAGTTGACACGCACAAGAAGCTGAACAATTTTACCAACCATTTCACTTGTTAAGTTTAGCTTCATGGAGTAAAAAGTTCCGAGAAATTTTTTAAGAAGCGAAGAATGCAAAGCTCTTTCACTTAGAGAAAACTCCTACCTTGGAAATCTTAGTGACGTCAAACTAAAATTCCACTCATGGAGTTATCCATTGAAATACCATTCCAATGTCTACTAGCCTCAGATTGGGCAGGTAGTATTTTGATGACCAGTGCTTCTAATCAATTGACAAAGAATGGACTCCAAACTTGAATGCTGTCTTGAAAACAGGGTGGTGGTGAATTTGCAAAACGCAACGACGACAGAACGATCAAAAGTCACATGCGAAGATGCAACGATCCAATGAATAGAATCCATAATGTAGAGAGGTTATGAAAGCAATACCTTTCCACCCGTCTGTATACTCGATTTTGCTCTTTGGAAGGAGAAAAGTCTGCTGCTTTTAAGCGGATAGTATAAGAAGGGCAACACGTACTACTCATATCTGGCTTGTAAAGGTAAGAGCCACATCTTCTCCATCCTCGATCAAGGAGATCTACAGGATGAGTATCAAAGTATGAATTGCCATTCAAAAGAAAAATGCACAATCATTGAATGTACTATAACATCTATCCGACCCATTATTGCCACAGTAAGAAAACTAGCGGAGAAATCCATCGGGTTCATATGAGAGAAGAATAAAAGGAAAAGGGAAGACATAGGAACACAAATGACTCAAGTCGGCACTTCAGCATCGACCGTAACTCCCACATGGTTTCGCTGAGCTCTTGCAGTTAAATACGCACATATGGAAGCATTCGTGCACGTCTTAACAGTTGATAGAATGAGTACAACATTCGAAATTTCTCTAGTTCCAAGCAGATATATGCACATTAGGAATCTACAGCCGTCGAGAGTTGATTAGTAACAGCGCATCGACAAGCTAGAGCAGTGCCCAGACTCTCAAAAGAGGAAATTGTACCAACCTTGATAGTCATCCACGGTTAGGCTATGCGCCCACAAGCCTGCGATCCAAGTCGAAGAGACAATTAAAAAGAAACAATCCCGAAAGGGGAGAAATTTGTCAGCGCGAGCTGACACACACACACACACAAACTCGAAGCAGCAGCAGATTGGAACTAAAGACCAACGCGATCAGCAAATTCCAGCAATCGTGTGAAACCTCAAATAGAAGACAGAGCTGAAAAGCAAACCGAAGCGCAGCAATTTCCCAGTTCCAGCCAATCCAAAACACTCCCTCACAACACAGGTAAAGAAACACAAGAAAACAAAAGAAAGAAACCGGGAACGAACGTACGGACCGTGAGAGACGCTGGACCGATCGGGAGATCTGCAGTACCCGCAAGAGCTCCTCCGCCGGCTGCAGTCACCGACCACCGTCTCTCCCCTGCCGCCCCTGCCGCCCCCGTCTCCGCCGCCGCCGCCGCCGCCGCCGCCGCTGCTCGCCTCGCCGCGATGATTGACCGCCATCTCTCCGCTCGGAAGTTCCTTCCCTTCAACTACTGTTCATCACCAAACCAGGAAGAGAGAGCCAGAGCGAGAGAGAGAGAGAGAGAGAGAGAGAGAGGAAATTGGCGACGTCTTCCAATTTCGACGAGCTCCGAATCTGTTGAAGATGACAGACGACCAGGCCTTGCGGTCCGTTTCGAGAATTGGATTAATCTGTGGCCTCTCCGAGCTGTGTTGACTCGGCGACTTGGTTTTCCTCCCCCTATATTTCTATCGAATATAATATAAAAGGAAAAAAAAATTAATACCACGAAAAATCCTAAACTGTTACGTCCGTGAAAAATTTACCCAAAATCATAAAAAACCTCAAACCGGTACACCCGTGACAACTTTATCTTCCGTTAGTTTCCGTTAAATTTTACTGTCAAATTGCTTTGTTAAATGACACATGATAGTTAACGGATATACCGGTTTTGTGTTTTACTTTTCGTTTGTAACGGGTGTACCAGTTTATAATTTTTTGCGGTATTAATTCAATTTAACGGAAACTAACGGAGAGTAAATTTATTACAAATGCATCAGTTTGGAGTTTTTGGTGGTCAAAAAATTGATTTTAAGTAAATTTATCATATGCGTATCAGTTTGAAGTTTTTCGTAGTATTAACCCAAAGAAAAAGTAATTATCTTCATCATTTTTCGCTTTCTGGTCACACATTATAAGAATAATTCCCCAAGAGGGCCAAAATTTTCAACTTTTTTACCCGGAAGGGCCCCCATTGAAAAAGGAGCGGCAATTTTTGCGTTTTTTCACACCCCCCACCCCCCCGGGAGCCTCTTCCACTAACATGTTTCCATCGTGTCATTTTACCAAAAGATAGCTCAAGCTTCAATTGCGACGTAAAAATTTCCATTTTTCCATTATGTAAAAGAGTCAATTGGTGGTGCTGGGTCTTTGATAATCCATTGTTAACAAATACATTTCCACCCCAATCCACACTCTCCACCAATCATGTCATGCACGGATGACGTATTTCGTTCAGATCCCTCCTCTGACCCTGATTCCACATTGAAGTCTTATCTCTCTATCCCCCAAAAATACAGTTAAGCCTTACCTTACCACTAACCAACAAAAAGTTTAAGAACTCTGTAGTTCGCAGGGAATTCAATTGCTGCCTTCGATAGATGATGATGGAAAGTGACTCCGCTCGACACTAGAGTGAAAAGGCATTCTCCTTCAGAGAGTTAGTAGATAATAGTCAATCCTGACCCTTTTCATATTGATCCTGAGAATTATGCAGAGGCTAGAAGCCCGGAACAGACCAGACCGCCTTTTCGACTTAATATGATTATTATCCATCACATTCACAACCCCATGAATCTAGATGTGATGCGAAGAGATGGCAAGTCCATCACCTTGATCGTCATCGATTACATAAAGGATAGCATCAGCATCAGCATCATCTAGGCAGACCCTATTAGAATAACAAGTTGTACCTCGATGTTTTACCTTGCCAGTCCAGCAAGATCGCATACACTTGACCCCATGCGTGTTCCAAAAAGAGGAACTCCACGAATCATGACATTCCAGAGGATGTATTTTCGCTATTAAGTTACCAAACAAGAACGAGAATAACGAAATTATAGTCCTACTCAAGCAGCGGCAACAGCTTCAGGGGCCACCACCGAAGCAGTTGCCGCCTTTTCGGGAGCATCAGCCACCGCGGCACCACTGACTTTAGAGTCATCTGAGGTGGGTGGCAATGGTGGACAAAGCTTCAGGTGGGACGGAGCGCCGTGCTTCAACTTCAAGAGAATCTGTCGCATCCTTGAAAGTTCGGTTGGTTTTCCGGGCTTAGGGCCTCGGACAACAACAACAGAGGGCTTCTTCTCTTGATCCTTCTTTCCTCTCCTATTTTCTATGGTGGGAACTTCATTAGGGATAAGCTCTGCAATCGCCTTCCAATAGTTCTTGTCAGCCTCAGTGTGGAACTTCTCTAGGCTGGCCGAAAACAACTGAACCACCCAGGACATAGAATCAGAAAAGGCCAATAACATTTCGGTTTCACTTTGTAATAAAAAGAACCGTGACACCATCGGCATGAAAGCATGCCCTTGAAAGCACTAGTCCTGTGCAACTATTAGTGCTATGATTGTTTGTGTTATTTCACCCTGTACTAGATTAAACAATTGATACGATGTCCTCGGTGTATCATAACGAGAATTAACTTATAACATAAATCAGATTTAAATTCCAACTACTTGAATTCAACCACATTCAGTTTCTTCCCCATTCTATGTAATTAATAATGCTATGAATGATTGTGTTATTTCACCCAGTCACAATAGATCAAGTCCTAGATGTATCGTACCGAGTATAACAAATGACATTAGTCACATTTCCGATTAGTTGAGGCCAAAGAACTTCTGATTTTCCCCATCCTGCGTGATAGCCAAGTGTCCAAGGGAATAACTGAGATCCTAATCACTTTGAAATCATATGAACACGCACTAGTAATCTACTTTAATCTGGTCCTAAAATCGATTTCCCATAATTGCCAGGGTATTTATAGCACTAGTGACAGATCCCCAGACACACCATGCCCTTCATCATTCTCCATCAACTACAACGCATTCATTTACCTCATCATATCCAATAATGTCCGGATGGTGTGCACTACCATAAAAAATATGAAGCTTAAGTGCAGTTCAAACACACGATATACAATTGGCGTGCTCCTCCCTTTCAAAGCTATTATTTGATTGTAGAGGACAGTCGATACTTAGAATTGATTCTAAAGGGTAGTTCAACTCGATTGACTCTAATTTGCAAGCACGGGAGCTACTAATGCATCTCATACTTTGGATATTAAAAGCAAGCTGATGCATTGGAACTTAACTTTGAACTCTGGGTCAGCATTATGCAGTTCTTTACAATGACTACCAATGATCAATTTTAAATCAATTGGATTAACTGTTGCAAATTTAAAAAATCAAATACCATGGCTTGAATATTCCACTAGCAGTCTTCAGCACAACTTCCATGAAATTATTTGAGGGAGAAAAATTACAATTCAATGCACCGGTGTGATAAAACAGAATCATATAGAACCACCCAGCAAAATTGTTACAGAAACAATCACAAAATAAAAAAAAATTCAAGTATTAACAAAAGATAAACATCATGAATTAAGTTTGCAATTGTAGTGCTAGGACTCACCTTCTCCTTTTCCCTGTTGGTTGTCTTGTTGTTCTCACAGGTTATCGTCCTTTTCCTGTGGAACTCAATTTTATACTCATCCGCTTCATCAATTATTTGGTTCAACAGCTCTTTCTCCATCTTCTCCTTCTCTTCCAATCGGACTGCATTTTGTCTTTGCATTGCAACAGAAATATATGTACAAACAAATTTTTAGTGACAACAGTCTTATAATATATGATGTCAAGAGAAAAAAATTACAGAGTACTCAACAAAAGCAGGAATTTCGCTTTGATCAAAATAAAGGTTAACAGTCGACGGCACTGAAGGGATTTACAAGTAAAGCAAGACCGTATATCCTTTCTAGTGGAGTCCATGCACAGAATTGAAATATGGGTAATTAAACTTGTACCCCTTCATTAGGAACTCTGGTATTTCTAATATCCACTATTATCCTTTAAAAAAACTTGAAGCAATGGAATAATCATACTAATAGAGCTATTAAAGCAATCCACTCGTCATTTCTTAGTGGCTTGGTCCTTCGATCAATAAGTAGTCATTGGCATTGAGTCAGATGTTCCCCCTCCCCTCAATCCCTATCCCTCCCCTCAAGGGCTTCTACAATCGCCCAAGTTTGTCACCGTTAGATCAAGCAAGAACAAGTTCTAATCATCATAACATTTTTAAGTTATTGCGTGTTAAGAATTTTTCTATAGGAGTTACGACAAAATGCATGTGATCACCCAAAAAAAAAAAGAAGACTAGTTTTATATTGGGTAAGCAAAATCACTCTTCAAAATCTTGATAAGATCTCATGGACTCAGTTGTGAAGGTCATGAAAATTCATAAGCAGATGGGAATTTGAGATTCCGTAAGCCCTGGGACAATCGGACAAAGTTGACAAGGTTTTCGAGAAGCGAGAGACTTTCGAGGCCGCATAAGTGTTCAGAGTTTCTCTCTTCCTAATTGTTCCAGGTCCCTTCTAATCCCCGACTTTGCGAATTCAATCTCCGAAGCATTGCAGAAGATCATAACTTTTTCCCCACAAAAATTAGCTCCACCAAGATGTCATCTAACGTGACCCTACATCATAACAGCACTAAGATGCTCAAAGAGCCCAAAAGAAACTCCCTCTATTCACTCAAAGTGCGGCTTTCCCTTGTAAGAAGTCAAATTTCTCCGACTTGACTCGGCGGCTAGAGCATCGCTTTCATAGTGCGAGGATCATCGGTATTGCCCTTTAACCTAATCATCGCGATACGCTTCTTATCAGAGCACGACGAAGCTCTTCAAACCACCACGCCGATGACCACAAGATATCTCAAACCTCGGTTCACACCAGACAGAATGAGCTGTACACGAAAAAAAAAAAAAAAAAAACTCAAGATTCTGCATCATCGTGAGGCTCACCTCCTCCACTCCCTCAAAGCAAATCCTTCCTCAGGCTGCATCTCCATCGGGGGCGGCAAAGCCGGGCCATCCTGTCCGTCGGACCCCTCGCCGTCCGCCTCCTCCGAGAAATCCCCGGCCGCCGGCGCCTGCTCCGGGAAGAAACCGCCCCCGGGAGCGAGGCCGCCGTCGCTGTCGTCCTCGGCGGCCGAGCCGGGCTCGGCGAAATGGTGAGCCGCGTAGGGCTCGAACCCCGGGGAGAGGACCGAGCCGTCGTCGAGTGGAGAGAAGGAGGACATCGTCGACGTGATCGGGAACGAGGCAGAGCGTGTGTCGCGAACTCGTCACTCTTCTTCTTCTTCCTCTCGCTTCGGAGTTTCAGTTCGAAGAGAGCTTCTTGGATTTACCGGCGAGCGAAATGGGCCTCTTGTATGGGCCTGAAGCCCCCTGGTTGTCCAACATCCAGTTGGGCTAAATTCATTTTGGGCCCAATAAGAAATTGGGCCTCAAAGGACCTGACTTCTCGAATTTGAAACGAGGTGCACACCAGTCATTTTATCTCCCTTAAAATTACAAGAATCTGAGATTCCATTTAACGCGATGGACACAAAAACAACCACGAATCTCCTAGGATCTAAGTTACACGAAGTTAATCAAACTGGTCCTCTCTTTTTATGTGCTATTTGGTTTAATAAATGCCCAGATAATGGCTTGAACTTTTGTGCCGAACTATTGAGCTGAACTTTATAACATGGTATCGGTGTCAGATTCTACCCATTTTTCGCGTGAAAATATATCACGTCACTTGACAATGGAGTTTATATGCTCTTTATATACATGCGATCTCCCTTCACTGATTACGTTACTCAGATGCTCAATAGAATAAAGCAATACTTAGCAGCTCAAAGAAGGCTATACTCACCACATGGTTTGAGTGAACAGAAAATCCATCATCCATTGTTGTTTGCTTCTTTATCGCTCCATGCATCCTATGAAACTTGAAGGAAGTCCAGTTAATGGGAATGATGCTCCCCCATCACCATAAGATCCAGTTTTCGTGCTGAAGATCGACCCTTCATGGGGATACAAACATGGTTTTTCTTTAACTCAAATCATAGAGCGACGAAAGCAATTAACTGACAGAACAGACTCATATTAACTTGTCTTGCGAGAACGCTCTCGAGCAACAGACTCAGGATTGTTGAACTTGACCTCAGAAAGTAATGCTTCTTTCTTTTGGTAGTGGCCGGCCTTAGGAGGTGCTTAGTCAAGTGACAGCATCTTCAACTTATCATCACGATGCAAATCCTGGAAATTTTGCATCAGTCAAATATTTAGATAATCACACTTGGATTTGGATGTAGCCAGTGAAGAAAATTTTGATTTCGGCGAGTCAAATGTGTAATAATGAATGCAGAAATTGCCGCCAAGTTCCCCAGAGTTTGGACTTTGGTTGAGAAATGATTCAGGTCATTGAAATACAGGTATGCTCCTGGAAAGAGAGGGATGATTCCAAGGAAAAATGAAGTGCTTGCGCTTTCTTTCAATATCTTAGGCTGTAGACAGAATGACAAAGTTTCATTTTGCTTTGGCATTACAATACAAATTGTCACCGTCATAGTGAAAACAGTACAAGGATTTATTCTGTGATCTTGATCCTGCAATACATATCTTCTCCTTTTGCTCTTATGCACGAACACTGGGTTGCTTCTGTTGAAAAGCAATGGGGACTTTGCACCTGGGAATATGGTGCTCAACCTTTTTGATCCTTTCGGTTCTTCTTTTCTCGTCCTCATGCTTTGTCGGCCGAGTCTTGGCTGAGTACGAGGCAGACCGTGAAGCGCTGAAAGAGTTCAAAGATAAACTGACAGATGACCCTCTAGGAGTCACGAGCTCGTGGAATGAATCACTTCCCATCTGTCAATGGCCTGGTGTCACATGTGGACGCCGGCACAAGATGGTCACGGTACTGAACCTACAGTCGTCGAAGCTCGCGGGGTCCATCGCTCCAGGTATTGGGAACTTGAGCTTCCCGAGGGAGTTGCAACTTCAGAACAACAGCTTCGTCGGTAAAATTCCACCTGAAATTGGCCATCTGCAAAGGCTAGAAATACTGCGGTTGTTCAACAATTCGATCACCGGCAATATCCCGTCTAATATATCTGGTTGCTCTAACCTGAGGTCAATGAGTCTTGCAGGCAACCAGTTTGAAGGAGAAATTCCTGTGGAGTTCGGATATCTGGGGAAGCTTAACTTTGTTTCAATGACCTGGAACAATCTACACGGAGAAATCCCTCCCTTGTTTGGTAAGTTATCGTCTCTACAGATTCTATCACTAACCGAGAACATGTTCACTGGTCTTCCTGATACACTAGGCCAACTGAGAAACCTAACATATGCTGCTTTTAGAGGGAACCGGTTGTCCGGTACTGTCCCTACCTCGATGTTCAATCTTTCCTCGCTGACCCTTTTCAATATAGTCGGTAACCAGATTCATGGGAGTCTTCCCTCGGACCTGTTCATTGCACTTCCGAATATCTGAGTACTTTGGCGTCGCTATGAATCAAATAACGGGACTATTCCCACTTCAATCACCAATGCTTCGACTTTGCAACGGCTTCATCTGGCACAGAACAGACTGTCTGGCAAGATCCCTTCCCTGGAAAAGCTACACAAACTTCGGTGGTTTCACACTTCCTCAAATCTCCATGGTACAGGTGGGGTAGTTGACGACCTCGATTTCATCTGCTCCTTGACCAATGCAAGTAACTTCAACTCGCTGTGAACAACAACAATCTCGGAGGGGCTTTACCCGAGTGCCTCGGCAATTTCTCGTCCACTTTCACAAAACTTCTTAAGAACCGAAATAAATTATCCGGAATCATCCCGACCAGCTTCAGAAACCTTGTTGGCTTAGAGGCCATAGACTTGGGGCAAAACCATCTCTCTGGTCTTGATATTGGAAACCTCAACAAAGTCGTGATGCTGTACTTGGATCGAAACAAGTTGTCTGGCGATATTCCGTCGTCTGTTGGTAGTTTGAAGAAGTTGAACCAATTGTATTTGCAAGATAACAATCTTCAGGGTAGTATCCCTCCAAGTCTAGGTGAGTGCCAGAGCTTGGTTTCGTTGGATCTTTCCGTTAATAATCTCATAGGCACCATACCAGTCGAAGTTTTTAGTCTCACATCGTTATCAATCTATTTGGATTTGTCGTGGAAGCGTCTGAGCAGTCTGCTTCCTGTGGAAGTCGGAAATCTTAAAAATCTTGGCCTACTAGATGTTTCGGAAAACTTGTTATCTAAGGAAATTCCGAGCAGTCTAGGCAGCTGCACAAGATTGGAGATCTTGAACATGCAGGGAAACTTCTTTACCGGGACTGTCCCTTTGTCTTTGAGCTCATTAAGAGGGATCGAGCAGTTTGATCTCTCTCGCAATAACTTATCGGGCCAAATTCCAGAATTTTTGGAAGGCTTCAACTTCTTGCAGAAACTGAACATGTCTTTCAACAATCTTGAAGGCTCGGTTCCTACAAGTGGCATTTTCATGAATGCTAGTGCGTTTTCTGTCCTCGGAAACAATAAGCTTTGTGGGGGCATTAGTGAACTAAATCGGACCAGATGCAGCACCAAGAAAATCAAGAAGAAGAAATTGCCCGTTGTGTTGAAGGTTACAATCGGCGCAGTTTCTGGAATTTCCGGAGTGTGTATTTTGCTCTCTCTATGCTTCTTCTGGTTAAGGATGAAGAAGAAAGGGACGCAGAGGAAAGAAGTTTTGCCAGACTTCACTGAGAATATCCTTCTAACCCTGTCGTATCAGAGTCTACTAAAGGCGACTGACAGCTTCTCATCGGCAAACTTGGTTGGCATGGGTAGTTTTGGGTCCGTTTACAAGGGGATTCTTGATGCACACGGAACTTTGATCGCTGTGAAGGTGCTAAATCTGCAAAACTGTCACGCTTCCAAGAGCTTTGTAGCCGAATGCAATGTCCTAAAGAATGTCAGGCACCGCAAGCTTGTCAGATTGCTCACGGCGTGCTCCGGTGTTGATGACAGTGGAAACGATTTCAAGGCTCTGGTGTACGAATTTATGCCTAACAGGAGCCTGGAGGATTGGTTGCACCCGGTGGCTGGGTCAGATAATAATACTGAAAAAGCATCGAGAGTTTTGACCCTTTTTGATAGACTTGATATTGGAATCGACGTAGCATGTGCTTTAGATTATCTGCACAATCATTGCAGAATTCCAGTCATCCACTGCGATATCAAGCCAGGGAATGTTCTACTTGACAACGAAATGACTGGCCATTTAAGTGACTTCGGATCAGCTAAAATTTTTTCGGAATCTTCAGTTAGCAGTGTCAAAGATCAATCTTTCTCAGTAGGCATAAGAGGAACTATTGGTTACACTGCACCAGGTCAGTCTATGATTAATATTTCGCCAAAAAAGAAAATCCCTTCTTGCAATTTCAAGAAATTGGTTTTTCTGGGAAGAACTCCATTTTCTTCTAGGATTATGTCAACATCGTCGCTTGTTAGTGTCTTCTCTTGGTACCCAGTTTCAATCTAACCACAGACAGTGTATACTTACACTCTAATTTCATTTCAGAGCATGGAATGGGAAGCGGAGTGACGACGTATGCCGATGTATACAGTTACGGCATCCTACTGCTGGAAATGTTTACTGGTAGGAGGCCCACTGATGATGAATTCAATGGGAGCTTCAACCTGCATAACTTCGTTGTCGCGGCCTTGCCTGAATGAGTCACAGAAATTGTAGACCCGACAGTCATTGCGGATATAGTGGAAGACTTGAGCATTGTGGATTCACAGAAGCATAGCAACTTCAAGGATAGCAAAATTCGAGAGTGCTTAGTTTCGATATTCAAAATTGGGGTTGCATGCTCTGTTGAGCTGCCGAGGGAACGGAAGAGCATCAGTGACGTACTAGCCGAGCTGCATTTGGTTAGAGAAGAACTAGAGAAGTGTCTTGGCAATAGACAGACTTCGGGCGTTCTCCAATCAGATAATGATGAGTCCATATCGTTTTGATTGGTAGAACAAGGCAAGCTTAGCACCTGCAGCTTCAAAGGTTGCAGAGAATATTGTCCTCTGTGTAGTATATCTTGCAAAGGAAGATTCCGGAATACTTACTTCCATCTTAAGAATACTAGGCCAAAGAACATCAGCTTCATCACTGGTGTTACTCTCTTTTCCTTGTGAAGATTTTCTTATGAATTTTAACACAATGTGAATATAGTGACCGTGAGTGTGGTTTGGGTTTTAGGAAGTTAGCCACTTGGAACCAGGAATGAGAGCTGATTCTATATGGGTTGCATGAGTGAATACATATTTGTTTGACAAATTTTCTATTTAGCCTCTATCCTCAAGCGGATAACACCTATGTTTGGAGAAAGTTGCTTAAAGCTAGAATTCTTCTTAAGCCTTACATCAAGTATATCAATGGGACTGGTCGGCATACAGTCCTATGGTGTGATCCATGGCATCCTCACGGTAATTTCATTGATTCTTATCCTCCAAGAGTGTTATATGATGCTGCTTTGGGTCCTCATTTTCTGGCAGCTTCTGTAATAAATGTAAATGAGTGGGTTTGAGCTTCAACAAGATCTGAGGTGTTGGTGCAGATTTAAGGGGCCATTTCTTGGACAACAACTTGCATGGGATGCTGCAATTTACCATTTATGAAATGGAAGGAGAGAAATGAGGTGCTGCATACCCATGTTGTTCCCCTAAAGGATCAAATGATAAAGCCAGTGGTTCTCTGTTGAAGTTCGTGGACAGGCTGCTCTGCAGGATCAGAATGCTTGTTTGAGTGATGCTGATAAGCCCTCGGGGGATCGCTGGCCTAATGGGTTTCAAAAGGAACTGTGGGTTTTGCCTTTAAGGTCATCTGGTGATTGGATTTTGAGTCACTAGTGAAGTTTTGTGGTTTCTTTGGCATATTGGCTCCGTCTTGTGTTGGAATGGCTTGTATGTGGGTCACGTTTGACATTTTTAGTTGAGGAATGATGTATAACTTACTTACCTAAAAAAAAAAAAAAGAACAATGACTGTGAGTGATCTTCCCTGCTGATACAATATATATTATGGGTAATTCATTCTCAACGATGTTAATGCCGATGCTTGGAGCGTAAATTAAAAGATACAGCCAACAAACAGTGGGTCATTATGGCCTGATTCAATGTGGAGCGGAAATTTCAAAAGGAAATCAAGAAAACAGAACACATCTGAAAACACTTGACATAACAAATTAAATTTGGTTCAGGATCATCTGTTGCTAACTTGCTTTGGCAGAAAAGTAATCATTAATGCTGCGCAATCTAAAACCTCGTCCATGTCATGTTACAACTTGTCGATAAGAGCAACTTCTAGGCAATATGATCCAAACGTGCTCCACATTATATTGCTCTTGACGAGAGAACTCACTGTCTAGAGCTTCTGCTTGGAGGTTGCTTTAGTTTGAATTTGGTTTGCTTTGATCAGAAACTAGTTCCAGGCATCAAGTTTATGGATGTCTGGCCAGATTCTCAACACTTATCCACACGGTAAAATGCACGCGGGCTCTCATTTTTTGGGTAAGTTCCAATATCTCTGTGAATAGTAAAACTGTTCAGTTGCTAAGCTTATTAGGAGTGAAAAATTGCGAGCTATTAGCAACTTTCGGCTTCTTGAAGAATCTAATTTGATGAGCCCTTTCTTCGTTCTGATTTGCTTCTTCATAGCTGTCCTTATCCATAGGACAGCAAGCATCTTGCTTGCACTTTGAGTGATGCTGTGTGATATGTTTTACACTTACGACCAGTTATATACCCATACATTCATCCAAGAGATTTACTTCTGTATTGTTGGACAGGGAGCGGCTCGTCATACATTAACATATGTATTGTTGGCTTCTTAAGTGTTTTAACTTTATTATAGAAGTTAATGGGAAAGGATTTGCTTTTAACTCCTGATATAATTTGCAGGAAAGCATCTACCACATGAATAAAATCTGATCATACATGTTAAGCACATTTTATCAAGAGGCCATGATTAATGGTATCAAAGTGTAATATCAAGCGAGCTTACTCCTGGTGAAGCATGGTTGATAAGGATCTGTAGTCTATACAGCAGTTAACATGCACGGCCAATCCAAGACAAGTTCTATTGGGCGACAGACAAGTTTAGCAAACTATGAAGTTGCTTTATCAAAAATGTTGCATCGGCAATTGCTCATTATTGACTTTGACTACAGATATTCAGGAAATTTACTCCGGCATCTAAGTGACCCCTAGTATCCCGCTTGAAATGAATCCGGAGACCATTTCCTTTTCAAAAGTGAAATTATGAAAAATATAATAAAATGACTGGGCATCTCCCTTATTTTGTTATCTCCTACTGATTATATTCTCACATTCTACATAAGACCAACGTATACAAAGCATTTATAACTAGGAACTGCTAATGACTTCATCAGTAAAAGGAAATGGGTAGGGCAAACATACCAGCAGACCTATGAACAACACTAAGATTCCAAGTGTAACATCCTTCTGGTCTGGATCAGTGACTTCATCTGAGAGTGGTGCAATCGGGCCCCGTTGCAGGAAGAAAATCAAAACTACCCAGTAAAACGCAACATCGTTCAACAGAGAGGATAGCCCAAGAAGCCCAATTGAGGCAGCTGTAAATCGAGCAGAAGCCTGCACAATGAAAACCTTTTTAATGTACAGAATAGTTTCCCATTACTCCTTTTTTTACCCAAACTCTTCATCAATTTATAGGGAAAAAAATGGAGCAGATATCTCCAAAATTCTGGGTCATATATTAGGTAAGTGAAAGAGTTTCCCACTAAAACATGCCCCTTCTGGTTCAATTTGAGAACTACCGACGCACCCGTACATGCACGAAACACCCATCACTAAATCTTTATGGCATACCTTTCTACCCCATATGGCAAATGATATTCGCCCTCCATCAAGCTCCCCTGCAGGGATACTGTTGATCGCATTGATAAGAAGTCCACCACATGCCCATATAACAAGAGGATTGACAGATATGGGAGTGCCTTCTTTTAAAACATCGCCAAGAAGAAGCTTTGCTGTAAAGAAAGAATTATCTTCATCTCGTTAATAATATAGTTGGAAGCTTTTTGGAAGATCTTCAGCAAGTGATGGTGATATACAAACAATAACACACCTGATATATTAAACTAAATACGATCCCGCCATTTAAATTCTCTTCTACATAGTTTTCCTATGGCTGCATACTTTAAAAAATAACAAAACAAAACTATTAGCTTTAATTTTCACTTTTTGAGAGAGCTTCACCTATTCCTCCGGCAAGAAGGGACTCGTGGAACACAGAAGCATCAACCACAACTCCAAGCCCATCTGTAGGTGGTAAAAAGAATCCTAGAAGCAAAAGCACGAGACCCATGGAAAATCCAGCCAAGGGTCCTGCCACTGCAACCTTCAGAAGATCTTCACGCTTGGGCACAATATTGACGATTCTTGTTATAGCACCAAAAGAGCCTATCTGCCATCAACAGAATTAATTAGACAATGCAAATGACTTACATAGACACTCAAGAACAATGTCGCCTTTGTGTTCACAAACAAAGACCTATGCAACACAAGGAGATGCCTGCAGTTTCATCACTGAAATTGCACTAGGTAAAAGAAAAACAGTTCATAAGTGCCAGCCAAGAGAGAAAATTAAAGTGCTTGGAGGTAATACCAATAATAGGTGTAGAAACAAACAAGCCTTCAACTTGAATTGTTTATCAGGGCATCATCTATCATGTAGCCTAGCTGTTTTATCTTTTAAGGGAAAAAAAATATTACTAGCACTTCAGCAACACTATTATTCTTTTTACTCCTGGTGGCGGCATAGCAGGCTTAAGCTTCAAAGCAAAATCCCTTGTGCTTTTAGTGAAAAAAGTGATCTGTTAGTCTGAATGTGCAGCATCATTGGTTTATGATTTGCACACGTCGTGAATGCACAGTTCAACTGGCAAGATCATGTAATTAGTCTGCACAAATCTCAAAGGACTCAAAGATGTCTCAATGATGCCCAAGGCCATAATAATCTTCCAGAATGTTGCAGCTATAGAAACCCAGAAAGGACTTTAAAAGAATTGTATCTTCAGGTGGTTAGAGCTCAAATTGGGATCAGAACTCATTCCCATGAGACATTTAGAATATCCACATAAAGAGGGGGGAGGGGAGAGTGATTTACAGCCCTCTGGCATGCAGATCATAGGGAACTGACTTTCTACATTTCAGAACTAGCTCTTTTTATGGATATTTATTAAAGTCGTTAGTTTCTACCTCAGGCAAGCGGTATTCAATGATTAGGATCTTTTATCAAGAAAAAGCACGTGATGAATTAGCATGCTATTGGCACCACATTTTGTTTTTGAGCAAGTGTAAAGTAGAATAGCCTTGTAGCATACTTTGGAGGATTGTCTATTCTTCTCTTGTAAAAGTTCGTGTGAGATGGAAAAACCATAGATCTCACCTGCCAACTGGGAACAAAATATGGCACTCCAAGCTTAACTCCACTGCTCTTTGCCACTAGAATATGGCTGAATTCATGGACCCCGAGAATTAGTGAAGTTACAAGGGCTCCAGGTAGACCATCCTTTAACAAGTTGAGGTTGTCAAATGTTGACCTAAAGTAGTAGCAAAAATGCCATTATGAACTAGACAATGTCAAAGTTTCAAGAAGGAAAGAGAAGATAACTCTCCTTCTCTGGCTAAATCATGTCCCACATGTCCAAAAAAAACTGTTTTTTCTCTGTGTAACTAATGAATAACCAAAGAATCAATTGCATACAATAAGTTGGACTGTAGCAGAGGCACATTCTGCAGAAGTAAAGTGAACACTGTGACCAATCCAAAAGCCCCTGCAGCAAACCACTCAGGGACAGCTGCAAAAGGGAAAACAACAAGATGTTGACATCATCATCGATTAGTAAGCTGTTCAATGACCACAAACTTTCCCAAATTATTGATGACTAATCTGAGAGATATTATCAATGAGAAATGCAAGGAAAGTTCCATAATTACCAGTTGTCTCTGGTTGCAGAGTCATCCTTGGAACAACAACTACCACGGGTTTATCATCTTCTGGATTGACCAAAAGGAAAAGCTTATATTGATCCCCGAATTTATTCTGTATATGGAAGTGCATGGTATTTGAGGTGACAAGTGAGAAACTTAAAGAAGTCATTGAACAATGTGAAAGGAGGAGGGTGATACCTGCATCCTCATTGATATCTTTTCATAACTTTTGGCAGGCTGCCCCCTGAGGTTACCTTTAAACAACACTCCACCCTATCAAAGGCAAAAGAGAAGCCTCAAACACTTGGCAAATACTTTAACAAAACATAAGTTAAAAATAGACGGCATGAAAAAGATAAAAGGCATAAATTAATCTGTTTGCAGAAATCTTGATGCTAGATTATTATGTTATATTAAAAACTTGTCATGCTCAATCAAATCTCCTAACCTAAAGCTGAATTCTTGCTTCATTATACTCATATACATCTTTCAGAAGAAAATTTTCTAAATAAAATGCAATAAATACAGAAAGAAACTTCCTATGTCTGCATACCTCATATGGCTCCTGACTGGTCACAAAAAATGTGTCAAAGCCAAATACTTGATCCTTAAGAACTTCAATTGTCTCTTTCGGGATCCTCATAGACTCATCTAGTTGTTGTGGCTAGATCAACAAGTTTTTGGAACAAAGTTAAATATAAGACATCAACATGTGCATGCAGCAAGAGGGAGGCCAGGAAAGTGAGAGAGCTCCAAAGTCTATAGCAGATGAATATTGCAATATAGTAATTATGACTACCTTCACACCTGGCAGAGGTGAGCCACTAGTAACTTGTATATCATCAACACCCTGCTGACGTACCACCCAACCAATTAGGATGAAGCAAACCAATTTCCAGTGCCTGCTTAATGTTAAAAGATGGCCTAAAAAACTTCTTGTAAGCTAATCTTTTATGTGATATTGTAATTATTAGAATGTATGAATGCACCCATATACAACAAAAGTACCGCTTTAGATGTTGACTCATAAAACCTACATGATAGCAAAACAAGAAAATTTGAGCTCCACTTATATTGGCCGATCACAATAAATAGGCACCTGGATACCATCTTGTGACTTATTTTCTGATTCGCTATTGATGCTTTCATCTCTGCCTAAAGCCTGAGGACCAAGCTGCCCTTCCTTAAAAGAATTCGCAGAAGATGCTTTATCTCCATCCTCATGTATTTCTTTTTCCTAAAAGAGCAAGATGCAATTAAATTAGATATATTAGCATGCTTATTATCTACAAAGATAAGAGAAAGAGAGAGAGAGAGAGAGAGAGCAGATGGCATGATTTACTCGATGCTCAAATTTATTTAGCAAACACCACAAAGAGAAAATCAAAGGGAAGAAGTACAGCACCGAGCCATGCTCGTCGCAATGGTTTCAGCATTTGCCACAGCAGGAATTTGAAAATATAGTTCCAAGCTATCAACTCTAAAGCAAGAACATTTTTCCTACTCTAAAAATGAGAACTTAGTTCTTTTGTCTAGCTCGATGAGACGGCCGGTCATTCTCAAAGCTGAGTCTTTCTCAAACCGGCACTTCATCTCCCCGATAATGTTAATCGACAATCAAACCACTACAGGTCGCAATAAGCACGATTTCACGGATTTGAGCAAATTAGATTAAAGCAAAGTCCGAATTTCTTGGCAAACTGACAAGAAACCCAAAATCTAAGAACTAAAACCCAACCTCATTAGAGCCTTGCATTCACATTGTCCAAAGATAGGAAAGCAACACGGTGGCATGTCTAAACAATCAAGCATCCTACCTTAAAATTCAGAATCACAACATCTGTCCGCGTGCACGTGATGCGAAATGAGTTAAGAAAAAACAAGTACCTTATCGTCATTGCTCTCGGGTTCGGTTTCTGTGTTCGTCACTCTACATAAAAACCTCCTCCTGCTACACAATCTCAACTTCGAGCTGCAACACCAATTCCAAACCAATTCATTCAGTCACCGCGTGCATCCAAAAATGCTCACAAACCACAGACCCCACAAACGACACGGCAAAACTCGGCCACCTACCTCGAGAAGAGCAGCTTCAAGCTGCCCCGGCCGGCACGTTCGTGCCGGCAGATCGCGGAGGAGTCGAACCAAGGTTGGAGGCGGAGATCGCAGCACGAGCTGCACTGCGATATCGATACCAAAGTCCCGCGAAAAGCGGCGGAGACGCTCATCCTCAAAAAGGGTAATGATGATAATGGCGATTCCTACGAAAACTGAGAAGATGTTGAGCTCTACTTGAACGTGGAAGAAGCCATTTCCGGTGAAGTGGTGGTGGCTTCGACCGCCATGAAGTATCTTTAAGTGTTCGAAGAAGATCTTATCTTTCCGAGGCCGAAGGCAAAGGAATTATCCGTTTTTTTGTTCGTTGCTTAAATACCCGCCCACAGATTTTTCTTTTTTCTGGCTTTCGACGTGGCCATGCGAACCCAGGTGCACGAATCGTGATCAGACACGTGTCGTGGATACTTGCCTCTAGATTTTTGGCATATAGGATATAAGGAAAATGCCACCAAAAACCTTATATTATGTCATTTGTTACACATTTATTTTGAACTTTTTTTTATGACACAAAAAATCTCAAATTATGCCACTTATGACAAATTTACTCTGAACTTTTTTTATGACACGAAAAATCCCAAACTATACCACTTGTGACACATTTATCCCACAATACTTTGATCTATGGGCATTTTTGTCTTTTTTTCCTTTTTTTTTCCTTTCTTCTCCAGCGGAGGGAAACCGGCGAGGGCGGTCCTCGCCGGCGGTGGGTGGGGCGAGGCCGCCCTCGCCAGACGCCAGTGAGGGCCACCTCGCCCGACGCCGGCGAGGGCAGCCGTCACCAGACTCAGGCAAGGGCTGCCCTCGCCGGATCTGGCGAGGGTCACCCGACGCCGGCGTGGGCGACCCTCGCCCGCCCAGGTGTGGGCGACCCTCGCTCGACGCCGATGAGGGTCGCCCTCGCCAGATCCGGCGAGGGCAGCCCTCGCCCAACCCACCGCCGGCGAGGACTGCCCTCGCCGACTTCCCTCCGCCGGAGAAGAAAGGAAAAAAGACAAAAATGTCCATGGGTCAAAGTATTGTGGGGTAAATGTGTCACAAGTGGCATAATTTGGGGTTTTTCGTGTCATAAAAAAAGTTCATGGTAAATTTGTCACAAGTGGCATAGTTTGGGGTTTTTTATGTCATAAAAAAAAGTTATGGGTAAATGTGTCACAAGTGGCATAATTTAGGATTTTTTGTGGCATTTTCCCTAGGATATAAAACGATTTTCTTTTATGCAAGTCATCCCCAAATTTAAGATATATGGGAAAGTTTCAAATAAAAGGCCAAAGTGTCCAAATTTTCTCAAATAAAGGCTTGAACTAGATTTTATTTCAAATAAGAGTCTAAAGTGACTAAATCGTCTCAAATAATAGGGGTGTGCAAAAGAACCGGGAACCGCCTGGACCGCTCGAAACCGGTGGTTCCTAAGGGAACCGGTCTTGTTCCAGGTGTGGAACCGCCCACCCGCCCACCCGTCCATCCGGACCAGACAGATAATATAATAATAATATAAGATATTTATTTAATTTTTTATTTTAAAAAAAGAAACATTTTAAATCCCTAAATTAAACCTAACTCGCTTGACGATCACAACCTTACACTAAACCAAAAAACACTTTTTTTTCTTTTGCCTCACGCTCACTCTCACTCTCTCACTCTTCTCGGTTGATGCTCACCTCACTGTCTCTGACTCTCTGTCTCCGTCCTTAGCTGGTGGGTTCATGGAACCAACAGGCAGTTCCCAGTTCTAATTTTTCAGAATCGGTCCTTAGTGGGCAATTCCCGATTCTAAGGTGGGAATCGTCCACCCGAACCATGCTCACCCCTATCAAATAAGGACTTTTGGCCGAGCAGCCAACATGTGACTATTCCGATAAGGGGTATTATAATCAAAAAAAATTCTAAGTATATTTTTTTAAATTTTTTTATTTTTCCTTTCCTTTCCTTTTTTGTTTTTTCCTCTTTCCTCCCCTGATCATCACCGCGCCTCATTGATGGTTGGCGGAGGTCACTGGCCTTAGGTGAGGGTGACCCTCGCCCGATGCCGGCAACCGCGGCCCTCACCCTAGTTCAGCGACCTTTGTCGGCCATCACGAGGCCTCATCGATGGTCGGCAGAGGGCAGAGGGAAAAGGAAAAATGAAAAAAAAGGGAAAAGAAAAAAATAGAAAAAGGAGAAAAGAAAGAAAAAAAGGAAAAAAGAGAGAGAGTAAAGGACGAAAATGCTCTTCGGCTAGCGAGATTAGGCCTTTTTTTGAAACTGATATGATCACTTTTAGCTCTTATTTAAGAAAACAATGGCACTTCAAACTTCAGGCCCTTGTTTGAAAAAATAAAGACACTTTGTGCTCTAATTTGGAATCTTCCCAAGATATAATTATAATTGTTTTGGCAATTAACTTGCTCAAATCAATGATGATAGATTCGGCTTCCGTAGAAGAAAAGGAAATATGTAGTTCGTATAAAAGTCATCATCATTACTATTATTAATAATATCGTCGTCGTCTATGTTATTATTATTATTATTATTATTATTATTCTAATTGTGGCCCAATTAGGCAAGCCTAGGCCCAAAAGAATAACGTTTCTCCGACCGAGCCCAAAAGAAACTTACGCAGCAAAGCCTAGGCCCGCCAGAGATAAGACCGCACCGGCCCATTGGGTAAAGTAAGAAGCCGTTTAAGGTGCCACTCGCTTCAATCAAACCCAGGCTACTAAAAAACATAGCACATGCTACTTGGTTTGCGTAGTCATTTAGTATGTTCCCTTTAGAAAAATTTTAGTAGGTGTAGCATCGCTCTCGTGCCAAAAGTCTTCGCGGGGTAGGAAATCGCCGGGTGCACCACGTGCCGCTTCTCCTCGCTCGACTCCGATCCAATAAATTGGACGTGATCACTGTCATTATTCCGTGGGGGCTAATGATCGCGGGAGGAACGCCGATCGGGCCTTCGATCCTAAGGTACGAGGTTTAAAAACGGTCCCGTCAATCGATCTCTCGAGATCTCAAAGCTAATGGCATGAGATCTCGAGATTGATAGTATAAGGCGCACCGGTATCAACTTGAAATCATGTAAGGACGCTCTATAAAGGTCTTTCAACTTATCATAGTCATCGGATGGCTGAGCCATGATTTAATATCGAAACGATCCGTTAATTCGACTTCATCTCTATCCGATTTGGATTAACTTTGCCACCCAACGAAGGAAGTGGACCAGCTTGAGAAAAATCTAGTCCCTACATATCGGAGGGGTCAACGAAACTTAGGTTTATCTGGAATAAACAAACCGACACTAATTGATCATCGTATTAAGAAAAGGAGACAAGTGTGAACACTACCAATATTCAATTTACGCGTAAACGCTAAGCATCATATCTTTTCGCAAATGGCTGCACAGCCTTCCTTCCTTCCTTATCGTCTGTTGGACTCGGTCCGACACTTATCTAGATAGGTCATACATCGTCACAACATCACTCGCATTTCCTTACCTTTCTGTCTAATTGCTTCCGGGAACACAACAAAATTAATAAGTGAAGTGCGATTCCAACTATTGGAATGAATATGAACGGTACATGTGTCGGGGAGCACGTATCGTGTCTTCGATGATCACGAAACAAGGCCTACACGTATAAATCAGAATCAGTACCGAGCAAGAAAAGGTTCTTCGAATCAAATTGTATTGCTGGGCAAGATGACTAACTATGTACAATTGAGTTGGTTAATTTCTCTAAATTTTCAACTTCATTGACAATATCAAGTCATGAAAGTAGGTCACCAACCGTTTCTAGTGTATTACCATTAATCAGACTTTAGACAACAAAAAGTGGCACTATGCTTCTAGAAGCACTTCCCTACTTATTTTTCTCCTCAATACAGATGCCACCTTGCTGACTAGTGACAACATGCTTAACGTTATTTCAACTTCAGCTTAGCTTAGAACTTAGATTTATTTTATACCGACATAACTAAGACATTGGGTTCCATAAGCAACCCTAATCCAAACTAACACGTGGAAACATCTATAGGATGATAGGTAATCAATGCTGACATTGTATATATGTCGGTCGATTGCCGCCGCTCGCCAAAACTATATCTTATCCGCGATATTTTATGTGCTGGAATTAAATGATTTTCATATAGGGAGAGGATTAGCTGCTGTCGAGTAATAACATTGACGTTGCCGTCTAGACTAGACCTATCAAAATAAGTTATAAACCCATTTTTCAACTTATATTTGATAGGCCGGGTTATTATATGAGTTAGTTATATTCGGTAAATGGATTGTAAATTGGTTTAGAATAATAAGGCTCAAAATAATATTGGTGTTAAATGGATTCACAACTTACTTAGACTCAGCCCGCTTCTATAACTCTCATTTCACTCTCCCTTGCCCTTATTCGATCTTGCTCTTGCTTACTCCGCGCTCTCACCTCAGTTTTGATATGGATTTTCTTAGGTTTGATTAAATATGGAAGTGTTTAACTATCATGGGTCGAGTAGAGTATGGGTTAGGTTTTGGTCACTATATTTGTGTTGCAAGGAAATTGACCAATTTAGGTTGGATCGTTTTCGACCTACTCAATCTCGATCCGACTCACCCATTTGACAAGTCTAGTCTGGACACCTTATAAGTTTTTTTTCATGCTCGACTTGCAGATTTCTCCCAAAGAAACCTTTCCTAATGAAAAAAAACCCCTACGACAAGAACGGGCTAGCACCTATACCAAAAGTCATATCGACGAGCGATTAAACCGATCGAACCCATCAGGCCCTATGCAGTTTTCAAACACTACAAAAAAACATGAAATTAGCGACGGGGAATTTTTCGTCGCTAATTTGCGACGAACTTTGCGACGGATTTATAAATCCGTTGTAAATTAGCGACGAAAATTTTCCGTCACTAATTTTGTCGCAAATTAGCCACGGAATTATTTTCCATCGCTAATTCCGTCGCAAATTAGCGACGAAAATTTTCCGTCGCTAATTTGCGACGGAATTATTTTTCGTCGGAAATTAGCGACGGAAAAAAAATCCGTCGCTAATTCCGTCGCAAATTAGCGACGGATTTATTTTCCGTCGCTAATTTCGTCGCAAATTTGCGACGGAAAATTGGTCGTCGCTAATTAGCGACGACCAATTTTCCGTCGCAAATTTGCGACGAAATTCGCGATGAATTTTTTTTCCGTCGCTAATTTATGCAACGAAATTTACCATTTTGCGACGAAAGTAGCGATGGATTTTTTTACCGTCACTAATTTGCGACGGATAAAAAATTCGTCGCTAATTTGCGACGGATTTTGCG